TTTAAGTGGGAGAACTTGCACAATTGGTGGCTGACTAGATACTTTTTTGCCCCACTGTATTTACCCAACCTTTCTCTCTTCTGCCCGTGGGATTGCACCTGGATAAGATCCTCAACCACAGCATAGAGTCCGTATTGCAATTTGAGAGTTGTATTGTGCATTTCAAGTTATGAATGTACATTTTCACCCCTGGAGGATGGATTTGGGGGGAGAATGCAGCTCTTTTAATAAAACAAACTGGATATAACAGATGAGAATTATGTCTATAAACTGAAAAATGGTGGCCTGCTTCAATTTCTGCCCTGCTCATCCCTTCCTCCAGTTCCAAATGAAATTACTGCACCTACAAGTAGACATACAAATAGAAATTTGTGTGCGCAGGATTAAACATGGTCTATCTAACATAGACAGACTGTGCCCCTATATCGGGGGTGGGTAATCTTCTTTTCCCCTTATCCACCATCTTTTCCAAGTATTTCAGGAAAAAAAAAAGTATGAAGATTTTAGCTTCGCCTTTTCCAGGGAATGAGAGTGCTGGAAAATTATGTCTGTTCCAAAGCCTCCAGAGATCTGTTCCTGTGCTAAGTTGCCCATACACATGCACGTGGGTAGGAGGGGTTGTGCAGATGATGGTTGCTACAAACCATTTGTATCTTTTCACCCAAGGCAGGAGGGATACACTGACCTGAAGGTGGCCATCAGCCTTAGGTAGATGCTAGCACCCAGCAGGGCTTGCTCCTGTCTGAAGAGTGTTTTCTAGCACTGGTCACTGTTTCAATTTCCCTTAACCCATGGTGGAACATTAAAATTCTTCCTGGGGCTACCACTTTAATTTCCCACAATAGGTGGTCAGGACCCTGAACATAAGTCTGTCACCCTCTTCTTCCTTTTTCTCTGTATGTGTGTGTGTCATATAACTTAATGAACGGTTGCATTTCCATGATTTCTTCCATCCTTCCAGTTCCCACCGAAAAAGGGGCCACAGGCTTGAGCAACTTGGGAAACACGTGCTTCATGAATTCGAGCATCCAGTGTGTCAGTAACACGCAACCTCTTACCCAGTATTTCATCTCGGGCCGACATCTGTACGAGCTTAACAGGTAGTTCTCCCCTGCATCTCAAGACGGAATTGAAATATAGAGAGAAATGGTTGTGATGGTGCTTCTGTATGTGTGTGCTTATTGCAAAGTGTTCCAAATACTGCGAACGAATACACTGGAGGTAAAAAGGGTCTCTCTTGTTTGCCACACCAATCTTAAAGGAAATCAACCCTGACTGCTAATTGGAAGGATTGATAATGAAGCTGAAGCTCAGACACTTTAGTCTGAGAGGAAGAGAGGACTCTTTGGAGAAGACCCTGATGCTGGGAAAGATTGAAGGCAAAAGGAGAAG